TGTGTGTGTGTGTGTGTGTGTGTGTGTGTGTGTGTGTGTGTGTTTGTGTGTAAGAAGGTTGTACATAATCGAATCATCTTGGTGGAAGATACTACTCAGTACAAGAATGTCAAACATACTTCCTACTTCCATTCCATTATAAAGCTTACCAAAGCTGACAATATTGCACTCACCTGACCATTTTTTACTACGTTTTCCTCTCAATCCATTGGAAGACGTAATTGTATATCTTTACCGTTTGTTATGCCCGCGTATCTATCCATCCACCTGTACTCAGTCTCTGCCAATTGGTTTATCAATATGAACGTCTGTGAAGGAAGGGGAAAAAATAAACGAAATACACAATATTTTACTCGACAGGTCTGTAAATCGAACCCCCGAGTTCGAGACCTTTTATAACCACTAGTCTAGCAACCATGTCCCTATAGTAACAGTTGCAAAAACGAACAAAAAAAATATTTTAAGAAAGCTAATGCAAGTAAATTTGGAGCGTGACCGCTTCGAAACTAATACCAAACATTGTTTCCTTTAAGAGAAAATCTTTTTGCACTTTAAGATTGTGAAACATTTTAACGCTTAAAAACAGCGTCCTAAATAATGCCTATCGTGTCATCATTATCACAACTTTCTTAGCACTTTTTGTAGGGTCTGGTGAGAATTAGAGAATCCTCCAATTAGAGAATCGAACTCGAGTCTCTTGCGTGCGATAGCAAAGCGCCTAACCGCTACACCACAGACGCTGGTAGACCTAATCTTGATATGGGATCATTTCACATCGTTGTGATCTGCTGCACACTAGCAAAGCCAGGTTCACATGTTTAAACTAGTAATCTTTTCTTTAGTTTGCTTCTTGGGTTTTCATGGCCCTGTGTCGTCTTGGCTGGGATGTATCAGAAAAGTTTTTTCGATTGGATTTCCCACATCTGAAAAAAAAAGTAATCTATAAATATTATATTTGTGAAAGTTCGTCACTTTGGCCGCCTAAAACTTCGGAACCGCTTAACTTTCGAATTTGAAAAAATTGACGTTGGTTCAGAATCATTTAAAGGGTGCACAGTTTTACTGAGGAGTCTGAAGTCACTGTAGTTGAATTTTCAGTTTTTCATTAGTTTCGTTTGGATCTAATCTTTGGAAAAGTCCGTCTTCTTCTAAGACGCCATTGTAAACAAGTGAGGCTTCTGTTCACAAAGAGTGCGTGCACTGATCCCACAATGATTTGACGATCGATTCTTTTGAGTCTGTTCCTCGAACGGGAAACCCAGCTAGTTGTAGATATTTTACGTCCCCATCGACACAGATCATATATGAGGCGGGCTATTTCGATCCTACGTGTCAAGGCCAACTCGGACTGAAAAAGATACAACGTCCGTGAAGACAGAAAGGCCATACTCGACAAGAAACCTCCTGGCAAGAGAATCGAACTCATGGATTCTGCGAGAGACGGTGAAGTGACTAACCACAAGACCTCAGACAGTACCTGTCCAACTTTTCAAACAGCCTGATTTCTTTAAATGGGTTTGGCTATAAACCCCACTTCAACCAACAAAAACGCGAACTTTAAAAGAATTTTTTAAAAGATTTGTCGCGTGTCCTGAGTTGGTGTCTGATAATTGTCTGTTACAAAGAAAATGTGTCAACGCAGTAGTAGTTGTTATGCTTCAAGGGGGGGGGGGG